AGCTTTGAAATAGGGACTAAGAGGATGCTAACTGAAGGAGTGGGCTTGACTTCTAATTCAAGTGTAGAGAATAGTTTATGTTCAGAAAACGTGATAGATTCAATGAAGTGTTCTAAATCTGAACCCATGATCTCGATTGAAGAGGTGCACCAGGCAAAGAAAAAACTCAGATATTAAGAAGGTCGCTCATTAAGATGTCAAGTGAGCAAAAGTTTGGGGTTATTCTTTTTAGGTGGCGATGAATTTTCTAGAAAAATGTTTGTGGAGCTTGAAGTAAGGGAGTGGACTAACAGTTCTGAAAATTTAAATAAGTCCAGAGTTTTGTCTGAACATGATCCCATGGATGACTTGGTTAATGTCTCAGAATTGGTTTTTTTTGGGGAGCTGTTTATTTTTATTTTTTACAAGTCATAGTTCTGCCCTTTTTTTTTTTTTTTTGATAGTGGGGAGGTTGGTTTTTTAGATGGTTGAGAGGCAGTTCTAGGTCTGTCAGTTGTTTTTGTTTCATGATTTCTTAGCATGTGTAAGAATTGTTTTTGTTTCTTTCTATTCTCTTGAGCTTTAATCGCATGGGTCTGAATTTCCTTAGAGTTTGTGCTAGGGGTAGGATGTCCTGTAGTTGGGTGAAGGTAGATAGAACTGATGAAGATCATTTTGGGGTTTGCCCAAGTATTCTTGTTATTTGGCATATGAATTCATGTGTTGTTGTGTTGGTTTGCTTGGGCTGCAAAGCCTATATACTGCTTGTATACCTTTTCTTTTAATGATTTACCTTTCATGTTACAATCAAATAAATAGATAAACACACACACACACACAAAATTTCCGAATTGAAAAAGCTAGTTGGTCAAATACAAATATATTTATTGAGGTAGTCATCTTAGTAATGATGCCCCCAAATACAAATTCAACCTTCCTATACCCATCTAACTGGCCCACTATATAGAGTTAGCTGATATCTGGACCATTTGAATGAGATGAATAGAAACCAGAGCTATTAGATCATTTTCAAGGTGCCAAGGTGACCCTATGTCACGGTCTGACACAGGCTTAGCCTTGCCTACGCTTGGCGGGCTTACGTTAAGGGACATCACCGTCATTTTTGCTAGTAAGATTATTGGGGAAACTCATGTCTTCTTTAGGCAGACCACCAAAAGCTTAACGTACTCTTTGAGGGGTGGTCGACCTCCTTGGGTGCCTGACCTTGGCACTCTTAGACCAACATCCCTTGCGGGGCGGCCCTGGTTAATGGCTAGCATGGCTACCAGGGTTCCTCATGGGCGCACACATGCTCATGGGGACAGTGCATGGACCGGCACTGTGCCTCCGCTCACTGAAGGGAGGCTTGGCATGTGGGTCTGGCTTAAGCATGTCCCTACACCTCGCCAGCCCCTTGCCTAAGCTGAATGAGCTACCCCGTTGCCCATGGCGCACTGGTGTGTTCTGGCCCAGTGGTTTCCTATCATCATCAGCACATCGGGTGCCTACATCATTGGCATACAGGAGCCCCTCTCATCGGCGCCAAGTTGCCTCTCATCTGGCCGTCCCCCTTTAGCACGTTAGTGACGCCTCCCATGGACCGGAAAGAGCCAACAGAGTGCCCCGGTCATGTGAACTGAGGTCATGATCCAATGCTACTGAACTTGGTGGATCCATCTCATCGGGCAACTCCTAGCCCTAAGCACATATAAGGCTTGTCCTAGCCTCCCTTGGCCTGGATGCGGCATGGGTTTCTTCCGTTGTAGGTCTACCCCCGTGACACCTAGGCAATAGGTGAACGCTTAGTTGCCTAGTCACTTAGGTGCCCACCTAGGCGTCACCTAGTGTATCAAATGTGACCTTGCTTTTCCTAGTGTTTTAAGGTTTGTGTCCTAGTGTTTCAAGGTTTGTGTCTCAGAAATAACCCTTCTCTTCCTAATGTTTCAAGGCTAGTGTCTAAGAAATAATTGTTGCCTAGGAAAAGAAGGGGCTAAACCTTTATATTTTTCATAGAAAAAAGAAGAAAAAAATCAGACAAATAAGGAAAAGGAAGGGTAAAGCACCTCTTTTTGTCTGAAAAAAGAGAAACCAAAAAAACCCTAAAAAATGATGAAGGAGAACTTGTCTCAAAAAAAAAAAAAGATTGAAGAAAAAACATCGAAAATTGCGATGATAAGAAAAAGTTATCAAATAAAGAAGGAGAAGAAGGGGTATAGCCCCTGTTGTGTTCCAAAAAAGGACAAGAATCATAAATTTAAGAAGTAGAAAGGGTTATTTCCTATCTTAGAAAAAGAAGGTGCTGACAGCAGGAAGTGGGAGGAGAACATATCTGCAAACAATTGGTGCTCCTTGTTTACAAGCTGAAGACATCGTCTTCGATTCTGATTGCTCTAAGTCTTCATTTCTCAAGCCTTCGAACTTCTCTATCATTTGAACCCTAAGAAAACAAGAATCTAACAAATACATGTTGGTTTATGAGGTAAAAAAGAGAGAATGTTACGGTGTATCACCACTTATTTTAATATTATGAGCTCACAGTATAAAAATATTGTAAAATAATGTAAAGTATAATATAAAAATTGGTTGGCATTTAGGCAAGGCAAGCAATAAGAAGTGCTTAGTTACCTAGGCGTTGCCTTGACAACTATGCTCTAGATCCTCTCATCAAGTGTCTAAATCTTTAAGGGCTTTCACTGCCTTCTAATAAATATCCAATTACCACCTAAGAGTCTTCTTCCGATTCCACTTGCCGGTAGCTCATTGTTGACATGAGTTTTATTCCTTGAAGCAAGGACTTTAGTTCTGCATGTCACCTGAACTACTTGACACTTCATGCTTTTCCATTGTCAATTGTATCTCCCCGAGAAACCTTTGTGTTCTATCAGAGTCAATTAACACCTTGTAGATTGTTTTTCCTCCTATAGTGTCTCTAGTTAGGAAAATAATGTAAATGGCCACATTTTCCTTGACATACATCAAAATTTCTTCTTGATTCTCTTGTTTTTTTTAATCTTGGCATGGCCTAGGTAGAGATAGAGCTAAACATTGGGCTGGCTTGTAGTCAATTCCAACTATATATTCATGTTTATTCAAGGAAGACAACTACCAAATTTTGGTAGCTAACGAGTGTGTGGAAGGTTTCAAGAGAAGGGAAAAGGAAGGTTTTGTGTGTAGACTTATCTTGTGAGTTGATAGTCTGGACCTCTTCAGAGGTTGGAGGGTAGGGAAGGAGAGCATAATTGTAGCACACCTGCAATTCGCTGATGATACAATCAATTTCTATGAGAGTGGAGATCCTTAGAAGGCAAGGAATTTGAAGCAGGTGATAAAGTTTGAATTTTTCTCAGAATTGAAGATTAACTTTGAAAATAGTTGTGTGGTGGGGTTGAATCTGGGGGAGGAGGAGCTGGTTGGGGTAGCAAGGTCTTAAGGGTGCCCTACAACTAGTTGGCCTCTAAAATATCTAGCTATGCCCTTAGGAGCTAATCCACAGGAAGGAAGGTTTTGGAGTCCAATTGTGGAAAAATATACTAAGAAACTGTCAGAACGGAAGAGGGATTATGTGCCTCTTGGGGGTAGAGTTACATTGATAAAGCCTACCTTAGCAAACCTTCTAATTTATTTTCTCTCAGTCTTTACAATGCCACAAAGGGAGGTGTTGACAATAGAGAAGGATAATGAGGGACTTCTTGTGGAAGCCTAGTGATGTAAGAAAGGATCACTTTGTTAGGTGGGAGTTAGTATGTAGAAGCAAGGAGAAAGGGGGTTTGGGCTTAGGCAATCTTCAAAAGAAGAATCAAGATTGTAGCTTTGTTGGGTAAATGGCTATGGAGATGGCTTCTAGAGAGGGAGAGACTTTGGCACAAGGTAGTAGGGAGCATTCGTGGGCGTGTAAATAATGGTTGGGATGTTGGTGTTTCTCGATGGGCACTTTGAAGTTTGAACACTCCGTGAAGGGCTATTAATGGCATTCTTCCCCAATATATAAGCCTTATCAGGTATGATGTGTGTACAGGAGATAGATCTTTTTTGGGAGGATGTCTGGATTGGTAATTCCACTTTTAAGGACCTTTTTCCATCCTTGTATTCTCTGACCCTTTTAAAATTGAACCCATTCAGAGGTTTATGTCCTTTCCTAGTCGTCAGGTGTCGATTGAAACTCAGGTTTTAGAAGAGATCTTAAAGACCCAAAGCTTGACCATGCTGCTTTATTTCTCAAAACTCTAGACCCAGTTTCTTTGGATCACTCTAAACCTCATAATCATATCTGGTTTCCTAATCCTCTGGGCATGTTTTCCTGTGCTTCCTTCTTTTCTCGTTTGTTTTCTGACCCTAACCCCCAAGGTCCCAACCTTTCTTATGTAAGGAAATTTGGTCCAAATCGATTCCCCCCCAAGTGGGAGCCCTTTGTTGGGAGGTTTCTCTTGGAAAATTAAACACTTTGGATAACTTGCAAAAGAGAAGACCTAATTATGAGTATTTCTCCTAACTGGTGTTTCCTTTGCAAAGCTAATGGAGAAAGTTGTTACCACCTACGTATTTCCTACCCCTTTGTTGTAGGACTATGGGAAAAGATTTTTGGTCTTTTTGTATGCCGGTGGACAATATCTTTGCAGATTGGTGGACTCTTTGACCAGCCACCTTTAGGTGGCCTAAGAGATGAGGTAGAGTGTTGTGGATATGTGCTAGGGCTGCTGTGGTTTGGACAGTTTGGGAGGAATGAAAGGGATCAGACTACTGTCTGGGATTGCTTGTTGAACAGGGCTATCTTTTGGGCTAAAACTTTGGATTTTTCTCACATTTCTCCTTTGGTGACATTTGGAGAAACTGGCAATTGGTTGCAAATTCTTCCTTGGTTAAGGACAAGCCTATATAGCACTGTAGAAACCCCCTGAAGAAGGTTTTCTCACATTTCTCCTAATCTATGTTTTTTTATGCCTTTTCTTTCTTTTTATTTTTAACATTGTAATGCTGTTAAGAAGATGATTGGAGGTGTAATGATGTGCTATGAAATATTGCAGGTACAACTGAGGAACTAAAGGAGTGTTTGGGAAAACATGGCCAAGCATCATCCAGATCTGATTATGTGCAGGAAGCAACCAGGGATTGCCATTGGACGGCTTTGTGAGAAGTGTGATGGGAAGTGTGTAATATGTGACTCTTATGTTCGACCTTGTACCCTTGTGCGGGTCTGTGATGAATGCAATTATGGTTCATTCCAGGGACGATGTGTGATCTGTGGAGGCGTGGGGATATCTGACGCCTACTACTGCAAGGAGTGTACTCAGCAGGAGAAGGATAGGGATGGATGTCCAAAGATCGTAAATTTGGGGAGTGCTAAAACAGATCTCTTCTATGAACGTAAAAAATATGGCTTTAAGAAAAGATGATGAGATATGTGAACTAATTCCTTTTACTTAAAGGCAACTCCCTCCTTTTGTCTTTTTTTTGCTGCCTACTCTATGGCGTCCTTACCAACTGATACAGTTCATGATTCATGTTTGATGAAAGGAGTACTGTGGGTCAAGTCTGTAAAGGTGAGTTTTTGATATAGGTGGAATTGTTGATCATGTAATCCTGTTTAGTATACTTACTATTAGGCTATTAGCTAAAGCAATATTTAGTAGATTTATTGATGCATATAGACAGGATAGCTGCTTTTCTGAGGCTCCATGGTGCCTCATGCGCTAATGCTTTTTCTATAATTGATCTACATGTTCTAGACTTCTAGTCAAAATTTTGATTTATTATTTATGGTTTCCGCTATGTTAAGCTATTTTCTAGTGAACCAGTATTTGGGTGAGTTTTGATGTAAATTTGGTTGACTTTTTAGTTGTTCTCTTGGTGGCTTCCGGAGCTGATTGATGGTTGCCGGACTACTCACTAGTCTGACTGTTGGTAGCTAGGTCGGTGTGCTCCGATCAAATTCAATGTCTGGACCATTCAATATGTTGTCTTAATTTAGATTAATTCTAACCCAAACCTGGTCCGTTGACACCTATATTTTTATCTTCTATCAATGGACCAGATATTGGTTCAATCCAACCCAATCCATGGATGGACTAGGTTCAAACCAATATGTCTTGTTGGTACATTCCAATAAATACTTTGGACCATGAAGTCTGGACTGGTCCAATTCAATATGTCTTGTTGGTACATCCAATCTGTCCAAATTGATTTTGGTTTGGATGGGGTCCAATCCAAAACAGGTGCATTGACAGAGTCCAGATCTCCTGCCCACATAAACTCTGCCCACGTTTATTACAGCCACACATGGAGAACATTTCAACATCTGCATAGTATTATGCAGGGGGAGATATTTCCAATTCACGGGAGTAGTGTGTTATGGGTAGACGTGGGTAGGAGATTCGGAGTCCCATTGACACCCCTGCTCAAAATGTATACTTGGATTTTCTGCTTGATGGGTGCTCTTTAATGAAATCTACAGTTACTTAGCAAAAAAAAAATAAAAAAATAATAAAAAGATATGCTTTCTTCTCTTACCAATTCTTTGTTATATGAACCAAGAACTTTTATATGGATAGGCAGATAGCCACTTAAAAACAGAGGAAGCTGATATCCAAGAAAATAGCAAAGCAATCAAGAAAAATGTTATTATGATGTAATTTTTTGATAGTGGCTTACTAGGTTACCTAATGAGAAGACAAATAGACAACAGAGAGTTGGAAGTTAAAGCTATTGTAGAAGTTAGAGGTGGAAGGAGACTCTTGGATAATGTTTAGTGCATAATAAACAAGGACCATGGTCCATGTCGACAAAGAAACATATTGTAGGGACAAAATCAGTTAACACAAGAACTGAGAGATCAATTTCAATGGACCCAAAGGGCAACAAACAACATGATAGAGTCTCTAGAAAATTGTGGTTGGGTCTTAGTTAGGATGAATGTATGCTGCTATTTTCAAGGTTCAAAATATTGATATGGGCGTATCGGGTGAATCGATACCCTTTTTTTTACTTTTTTTTTTTCGAACCGGTTCAGGTCTCCACCCCTTGAACTGATCAGACCCCCGATACACCCACTATAGGGGCGTATCAGAGGGGTCCCAGAATGATATGTATCGACCGATACGTGTTGATACTTTGAACCTTGGTTATTTTTAGAAAATTTGCGAAGGCAAATTTGATGATCAGTTGTGTTTTGGGTAAGAGCTATAGGCTTCTATTAGTACTTTTAAGTTGTTTCTTAGGTAAGAGCTGTGAGTGACCATGAGCACCATATAATCAATTGAGGACTTGCCATGGACATGAACCAATTAAAGGTTCCATACTTCCATATGACAAACACTAGAGATTTCACAGGGAATAACAAGTCACAGTAATAATGCAAAGAACAATTACTTCTCTTTAATCTGGACGAGACGATGATACATCCCTTTGCCATATTTAAAGAGAACAACGCAAAGTTTAGACCAAATGATACTGTTTTATGTTTTTTTATAGGTCAATGAAAACATATTTGAATTAATGCAAAAAGAGGGATAGATTTCCTCATGAAATACTTACAAAAAGAAGTATCTGTAACTGTGACCTGTATATATGATATCCACAAAAAGCTAGCAACCTCCATATATAACGATATCCCAATGAATTATATCATGCATTGGCTATTTGGATGATTCTTCGTAATGGTGTCAATGGGTTAAAATGGATTAAATCTAGATCGTATAATGCTTTTTAGATGAAGGGGATTTATGTTTTATGTCATGCATCGACTGTTTTCCAGTTCAACAATTGCTTTTAATAATTACCTGGGGATATCCAGTTCAACAAATTCAGATCCATCAATGATTTTATCAAAGATGGATCTGATCTAAGAAAGAACACTATTTTTTTTGATAAATAACAAAGATTTTTGTTAAGAGATATTAATATAGAAAAATACAAAGGAAGGGATAAAAACATTTAACCCTCGCAAGAGATCATTTCAGATTACAATGTTGCCCAGAACAGAAACAAGGTATATACAAATACTCACAGGATAATCTTTCATTTGGCAACGATAGTGCATACAGATCTACAATTTTCTAAACAAAATAAAATAGCATTGGAAACAATTGGAAATTCACATTGCAAAGATCCGAAGGATATATGAATAAATAGCTTCAAGATCAAAGACGTAGAGGTTCTCCCAAATCCTCCATTGTGAGATGCTTATTAGAATGGGAATGAAGAAACAAAAAAATAAAAATGTGAAACCGTCCCAAATTCTAGCCTCCAAGAATCTAAAGTTCACTGGAAGAAGCTGGAATCCACGTCGTCCGTTGGAGATTAGATCAGAGAGAGAGAGAAGAGAAAAGGAGGAAGAAAATTTTATTTTTTCGCGGGCTTTAGTATAGCGGTAGGCAATTTAGTTTTTAGCTGCAGTTTTAAATGATTGCCGCTGAAGACTAACTATTTACCTGCCAGCTAAAAAAATGCTGCTAACGGTTTTCATTCTCCATGCCACTTCATACTTCCTCTTGAGGCATGAAATGACAAGAAATGAATCACCTTCGATTGAAAAAGGATGATTTTTGAAATTAAATGCAACATTATGCGCCTCCCATGCCGCACAGGCTTCAATTAATTATTAATTGAAGTAATACCAATGTAATAAGCTTTGTCTTTTAAGACATCCCCATACTTATCTCCAGAAATACAATCAATTGTACATGAGCCATTACTCATACAAAAGGCATCAAAATTAATTTTAATCTCCTCCTCATTGGACTTTAATTTGCATCATCAACATTATTTTTAAAAGTTGAAATAGGATGTGGAATCCATCATCGAGGGGCAATTGGAGCCAGTTGTGAAATAGGGGATACTGTAGATGGATCAAGATCAGCAATTTGAGCATTAGCTTGGAAGAGAATAATTGTAGGAGGATGGAAAGGCTTTCCTTCCATCACTAGACTCTAGATGGGAAGAAAATTATTCCAACTCAAGGAGGGGACAAGGGACTGAATATTAATTATTCTCCATCCAAACCCATCTATCATGCAATTGGTTAACATCAATGACAGGGTGGTTGCAATATCAAGCCAACATCTCTAAGGTCTGGGGAATTGAATGGTAGGTACTTATCCAAGGTCTTCTTGTAAGTTGTAGCTAAGCAAAGGGGCTTTCATGAACAGCTATGTTTGGTTTGAAGGAAAGAAGTAGGGAAAGGCAAGGAAATCTTTACAAACTTTGTATAGATTTTCATACCTTTTCCTTCAAGCCAAACATAGCTGAAGCATTTGCCTTTGCTGATGCTAAGTGTATAGTAAATTTTTTGGAGACCGTAGACTAGAATCCCACAATGTAATTGGAGAGACGAGCTTTCTATGGAAATAGGTTATGGCATTTTGTCATCTTTTGCCAAATATGATTTTTTCTCTTTTATATATAAACAGAAATGTTAACATAGAAGACCATATTTTAGCCACTATGGCTTGTAGAATGGTACCATTTATTAGGGACTTGATGTAAACTAGTAAACATGCACATTCATTTGCACATAGCAATGTCTTTAAAATAAAACTATTTATAATTCATTGGTAGTTTCTTGTTATAAGTGGGTAGTTTTTGGACTATTATAAGTGGGCAATTTCTAAAGTGAGAGTAAAGGACATTTATACCCATTGTATACTTAGACAAGAGGGGTAAAAAACATCCAATGAAAATTTCAGAAAAAAAGGGTCGGCATTCACTCTTTTATAGGCAGTAGTATAGATATGTTTATGCATCTTATAAATGAATGTTGGCAAAAAGACTATTTTTTGATGCTCAATTTAAGTGCTTTCTCTTCTTTAGGTAATTGGATCTAAACAACTACTAGTAGAAAGTTTTTTTTTTTTTAATGTGTGCTTCTTTTCCTTGTTTAGCAATGAGAATATTTTGTTTTTCTAAATTTTGAATGGTCCGACCCAAAGCCTGAGCACAAAATAATGCAAAACTAGAGGTGTAATGCGGGCAGTGCCTTATGCAGCACGATTATTTTTAGGCAAATTGAGAAAAAAATGAAAAAGTTAAAATAAAGTAACAAGATAGACGAGAAATTGCAAAAGAAATCTTAAAATTTTATTCTATACGAAGTTTGATATACATAATTGTTTATTTATGAAATTATAAAAATAGAATAAAATATTATAAAAAATGAAAATAAAAATTATTATTTTTTTTCACCTAAAGAAACTCGGAAAGCTAGCATTGATCAATGAACTTCATTACAAAAGAGTCTTTGTATTGGAAAGTTGTGGGTATTCAAAACGTTTTATAATTCACCAAAGAAAAACATTTTATAGTTGTTAGTAAATTGGTAAATGTACACTAATTTAACTGTCTTTTTTTTTTCTGAGTGTACCCTTAATTATTTAAAAAAAACAAAGCGATTAGTCATTTAGTTCAGCCCAAACGATTCCTAACAGACCGATCGGAGACAGGTGTATGTCTTTCTTCTTGGATGCATACGCAAAGCAAATGCCACGTGGCCATTAATCAGTTAAAATTTCCACGTGTCCAATCCAACCTTCTCTTTCTACTATTTTCCGCAAATTCCACGCGAATACGTGGACAGTTTTCTGATTTCTCAGTACTTGCTGAGCATTTCTATCTCCATTGTTGTTATCAATACGGTGGTTGTAGTTGATAACCTACCAAGTGAGAATGCTATGGACACGAGTAAGAGAAACCGTGCAGAGGTACGGCTTCCATGATGCCGTATTTATGCCTTATAGGTTATATAGCACGTTACGTATTCTTTACTGATTCGCAAATCCGTGTGGCTAGCGTTCCTTAAAAATCTCCTCGTCGACTTCAACGGGGAGCAGTCACCGAAGAAGCCTTCGCTCCGAAGCAAACCGAGGAGAAAACGAAAAATAAGCGAGAATAAAGACAGAAGCAGAGATCGTTTGCGTGTGTGAGAGGAGAAGAAGAAGAAGAAGAAGAAGAAGAAGAAATGGCGTTGCAGTGGATAATTTTGTCTTACGTGGTTGCAGTGGAAGCAGCCATAGCGCTTCTGCTGACACTTCCGGCACCGAAGTTGTTGAAATCGCGCGTCGTCTCACTAATCTCCATCCTCCTCCAACCTGCGATGGGCATTGTCCCCTTCGCTGCATTTCAGCTATTAGGTTTGTTTTTAGTTCCATGGTCTACTCTCTCGTTCCCTTTCCTGGTTGGCCTTTTTTCTTTAAGGGGATTTAGCTTCTAATTAGGGTTTGGGCGTTGTTGGTAGTTGATTTTATCGTTTTGTTTCTCTGAAAGATATCTATTGGAAGAACGAGCACCGCTTGATGTGCACATCTGAGGTCTGCACCGCCGCTGAAAGGGACCGATACGAGAAATCTGTGAGTCCTCGTTTCAGATTTCTTCTCTTGATTAATTTGTTCATATGTCTTTAAGACAATTTTGTTCGTATATTCTACATTTCTGTTATTGATGTCCGCATTATTTGTTTGGACTGGTTGCTAATTTATTACTTTTTGGGGTCATATGCATGCCATTTGGTTTGAAATGGTAAGCATATTTTAATTTTCCCTATTGGGAATTCCTTAGCTTACTCGGGAGGATGCTTGTTGTAACAGTGTTAAGATAACGGAATATCCAATCTCCAAAGGCTCACATGCTGATCGTTGATCTGTCTGGATATCAATCTTTATTGAGATTTTTTTTTTTTGCTAGATAGTAGTGATCGGATTAGAAGAACTTAGAATTCGGTCTTTATGATGTAAGTTATGGCCCTGAAGGGGGGGGGGGGCAATGAACTACAGTGCTACACCTGGTTGTATACTTATTTTATTTATTTGCCTTGGCTTCTGTGGCATTAACTTCCAGAAATTCCCTGCTATTAGTTTCATTTTATGACGAGTTGTATCCGAAAAGAAAGTAGAGAAGAGCAATGAAGGCTAAGCAACATAAAGTCGTTTCTAAAATTGAAACTTAAATATCATTTATTGAAATTTATAAATAATTCTCACAAAATGATGACTCCTATAAAATTAATTGCCCATTCCATATGCACTGATGCTTGTAAGATGATCATCACTCATAGAAGGGAAGTAACAATGGATATAGACTTAAATAGAGTGGATTGGCTGAACAAGATTCATGTAACCGACCCAATGTGGTTGGGACAAAGCTTAGTTGAGATGAATTGAGTTTACTTTAGCTATTATTAGATTGGATTGGAAGAAAACTCTAACCAATTAGCAATAAATGTTACTTGTCTGTTTTTTTTATCCAATTAATAAGTCTTGGTAGTCTTCTCTCTGTAAGAGAGCTACATCATTCATCAAGTTATGTACATGGATGAATGATCTAATTATATATGTCAAAATGAATATGAAAAGATAAAGAAAAAAAAAGATTTATTATTATTTTTTAATTCTTTGGATTCAGTGATGGACCCTTTCTCACATTTCCATTATTTAAGATAGTGCTTTTATCCATTAGCTCAGATGTACTTAACACCCATAACCCCATTTTATATTCTCTTGATTCTCCTTTGACATCAATTTGACAATTATAAATTGTCAAAATTTTATGGCAATGCCATGAAAAATTGGTTTTCATGGTAAGGCCACTATTTTTTCCCTGCTTTTAATCAGCAACAAGATAAAAGGAATTTATTACTAAATTTGGATAAAAAATACAATCCCTAATGGCAGCACCACAAGGTTTGAGGGTGATAAAACCCTTCAACTATAGAATGATAGGCTACTTCTGTGGCAATATAAAAACATCATGAGGGTGATAGAAAGGGAATAAGGGTTATGAGTTATGACACTGATCAGCCGATAGGTTGCTGATGCTATGGCAAAGCAAGTGGTCAAAAGAGGACATCCTTTTTGTGGGTTGATGAGGAATATACAATATAAAAGGAATTGTACATTAAATTGAAAAAGTAAGGGAGGAGAAACAGCCTGCCTAAACAGAGGATGCCTGACATCAATGCATAACTAATTCTTTTATTATCTATATTGAGCACTTGTTACCAATCAATTTTATGACCATACCCCATTTGAGTTGAAGCCTTGAAGGCATTTATGACCACATAAAGACCCCCCTCAATCTCCAGTCTGTGTATTCAAGGAAATCCACTCTTAATTCCTGTAGTAGAGCCTGATGGAGTCCTGCAACCACCCTTCCTTCTTTAGTCTCTATAGAGTGCACTAATTCCACATTATTGCCCTAATAATGCCGTTATGTAGTTCTTTGAATGTATCTGCTACTTATATTTAAGGGAAAAAAGTGAAAACTTCTAGGAAGGGGGACGTTGGTTAAAAGCATGTGAGCATATACAATGTTTTTGAAATCACCATTAATTCAGTCCACTTTTTCAATCTACATTTAATTCAGACCTAATGGAGTATGGTGCTTGTTTGAGCCTACCACTGGGCATTAAAAAAGGAGAGTGGAATGCTTGCTTGAGCTCTCTTACTAAGCATATAAATATTTTATAGATGAAGAAGAATGGCTAAGCTTATTGAAATTCATGATTAGGCCTTGAATGACAGTGAACACCTCTGCTTTCAAAAAATTGCCATGCCTCACTGGCCCAAAGTAGCTGAGCAATATCCTACCTCCTTTGCCTCTTACCACCCCTCCCATGCCTGAATCACCAAGGTTTCCAAGACTGCAACCATCAAATTTAAGTTTAAGCCTGCCAGCTTCCAGAGGTAGCCAAACAAAAACTCTTGGTGGTGTTCTATTTGATGTACCTGGCACAATGTGCCACTCTCTTAGGAGGTCATATATCTTTACTCCTTTAAATTCCTCACACATCAGCACCTAATGAGCTATTCTCACTTTGATAAGATCAGCTCATTTAGTAATTCCACATCTAGTTTTTTGTTTTAAAATATCCATGCATATCTCTCCCAGTCCATTCATTTGCTCTAAAATATTGCAGGCATTGTACTATGCCATAACAGTTTCACTCTTTTAGTGTGACAGTCAAAATGTCTTGTTGAAAAGATCTATAGTGTTTGGCAGGGCATGCCAAGGCTTGCCAAAAAGAATAAGAAAGTGAGTTCACATGTAAGTTACATAATGACAAGCAAGAAAGAGGTGATTTGAGCTTTCTTGGTTTCTCCACTCTTGAGACAATGTACATGTGGGGATAAGCACCAAGTTTTCTGTTTCCCTTGGAGTCTCTTACAAGTGTCTATGATTTGAAGAGAAGCCTCCCAACAAAAAACTCTAACTTTTAGGGTAGATATACCACTAGAACTAGGATTAGGTTCCCACACCTTTCATCTTTCCCAGGGAAAGGAAGAAACATGTAGTTTAAAATATTCGTTTAAGTTTTAATAAGGAAAAAAGAAAAAAGTCACATAGAAGTGTCCTAGAATCCATGGAGTACCAGAGTTTGACATGTGTTCAACACATACACTTCATCCATTTAGGAGACTCCAGGAAAAACTGCTCAAGACTATTGGGAGATCATGAAAGATGGCCTAATTCTATCCTTTGAGGAATTTCCTGATAGAGGGATAATCAACCTTTGGGCTAGTGCCACTTTTATTGGATGGATGAGGGGGCTGAGGGTGAGGTAGGTAATATTATGAAGTTTTAGGTGGATAAAGTGCATTGGGTGAACAAACACTTACCATTGAATCAGGTGGTGTCTGGGAAGGTCCAATTGGAAAAGTCTTTTAGGTCTTCTCTTCCTAGGTGGTAATGAATAATGAGTTTGCAGAGACCGCGTTTAATTGTTTGGAAGAAAAGGAAGCAAGATTTAAAAAAAAAGTAGAGATTCTTCAAAGTTGAGGAATCTTGACAATAGCAGCTATAATAGTGTGGTGGTGAAGGTGAGGCTTTTGGAGGCTAGTGAGTTAAGAGGATAAAAAAGAATGCTTTATTTAAGGCAGTGGTTGCTCCAAAGAATACTGTGTGGTGATTCTCCAGAAGTACCAGAGGAAGAGGTAGAAGTGGGAGAGGGAAGAAACAAAGGAATACAATTATTAAAGGGTTCTTTTGCTGTGAGGTGGTCAGGCTTCTTTTGAGGACATGGCGCAGGATCTGAGGTCTTTTACTAGTTTCCTTTTGTTGGTTGATTGATTCTTTCATCCTGTTATTTGTTATTTTGTGTTTCTTCCAGGATTGTCGTCATAAACAGGGTGCTAGTGTCATGAAGGCATTCTGGGGTGCAACTTCGTTTGCATCTAACTTGGAAGCTTTCTTATGGAGTTGGCACCTGAGAGGTTTGAGTAAAAGAGGAAAGCTTATTTGGGGGGTGACACCTTTGGCTGTGATTTGGACCATCTGATCTGAAAGGAATTCAAGACTTTTTGAAAACGAATGCAACTCAGAGGATTCAGTTATGTAATTTGTTTGAGGGAAAATTCACTGTTGGGCAGCAAGCCATAGCTCATAATAGCTTCACAAGCTCATTGTGCTGGACTTTGTAAATGTTTTTGATTATACTTAATACAATACCTTACTTTTTCTAAAAAAGTGTCATGGAGTCCTTTTGTGTATTTTACATCTCATGTGGGCCTATATTTTTTTATTGGGTCACGACTTGCATTTTACTTTGAATCTTCTTTTTCTTTCAATAAACTTTTATCTTATTATTAAGAAAAGTTATTAAAAAATGGCCATAATTTTCCTAACATACATTAAATTCATAAAATTTTTGGTCTCATTGGATAGGTAATTGGAAAATCAAATTCAAGTTGAAAAGACAAAGTTTGTCCATGTGGACTAGGTGGTCTATCAAAGGGTTGGCTGAAACACTAGTAAAATAATGAGTTACTAGAAAATAAAAAAAAGTAAAAATTCCTCTATTTTGGGGAATCATCTCCACTTTTCTTTTGATCAACAAAGGTAAGTTTTGTTAAGCATAATGTGTAAATTGAGCTTACAATTTACAAATTTGTGGGTAGTTTATCCACACCTAGGGGTGGATTCAACGAGTTGAGCCGAGTTGGATAGCTAGCTATTCGAGCTTGGATCGCCAAGAAAGGATGAGGTTTGAGCTTGTGTTCAAGCTTAAGACTTGAGTTTGAGTTCGGCTCAAGTCAAAAGCTCGTAAGCTTGAGTTTGGCTCGACTCGAGCTCGATTGTGAGATAAATGTTTTATAAAAATAAAAAATATATTTAAAAAGTATTTTTTATTTGATATTTAAAGAATTAAGAATTATAATAATTTTTTATTATTATTACATATAAAAATAAAATTATTTTATATATATAACAATTTTATTATGTGTATAATTTTCTCTGTGTAATATTTTTATATGTATCATTTTTTATATATGTATATATATGTAGGGGTGTCAATCGACTGGTTTTGGGTTGGATTCAATTCGATCCAAACCTTGTCAAATCAGATTTGGACGGT